ACATGAAACAGATCAGCAGCAACATGAAACAGATCAGCAGCAACATGTAACAGATCAGCTGCAACATGTAACAGATCAGCAGCAACATGTGATTTTTTTCACAGTGATTATTCTAGTTAGAGATTCATGAGTCTAACAGCCTCAGGGTAGAAGCTGTTCCTCAGTCTAGTGGTTCTACACTTAATGCTCCTCAACCTCCTTCCTGAGGGGAGTGGGGCAAATAGTGTGTGTGCTGGGTGAGTGGGGTCCTTCATGATGCAGGTGGCCCTCTTCCTGCATCTGGAGGTGTAGATGAATTACTTACTTCTGTATATGTGTGTGGCTACATCTAGGTGTAAAATAGTCCCTTATTGCTATGTCAAAACCTGTTTGTGTGGCCACCCCTATTATTTAAGGAAACTATGCTGTCTAGTTTTTATATTGCTTAAAAGTGTACAGTAGTTTCCTCAAATGGCCACCATTGGCCACCCCCTGGCTCCGACATTGTGAAGGTTGGTGGATAAAATTGCCAGGCTCCGTCACTCTGTGCTGCTTGAGACCAGAGTTCCCAGCAACTCTGGAAATCAGGGAAAATTTGGAAAATGATTTTCACATTTTCCAGACAGGGGAAACAGGGAATTTGAAATCTAATCTGCTGATTAAAATATGATCTTTCTGAGATTTTGAGGTGTACATGTATCCTAGTATCTTTGAATCCATGTTCTGCATCTACAGTGTACACTACATATATCCTTACTGATTTACAGTAGCCATGGTGGTTGTTATATAATTTAATTAATTATTAGACTCTGCCCTCCACCAAACAAGCTAAGTTCTGAGCATTTTGTGTGACTGAAACATTTCTTAGAGTTTCAAGGTTTAATCGGGGGGAAAAAAAATCAGGGAATTTTGTTTTAATGAAATGCTGGGAACACTGTGGGACAAGCAAGAAAAAAAAACTACCTCTGTTTTTCTATTTCCAGAAATTATGAGCGATCAGACATTTCCCCAATCGTTCCTTACAAATTCTAGTTTACAATCTTTCATATCTAGGATAAAATATTAGGAGATTCTGTTACAGCTGTGGGCAGATGTATTAATACACTTAATGTAAATATTAACTGTAATTGTTTATTTGAACTTCTGTTTTCAAATTGAAATGCTATAAAATGATGTACAACTTGTTTGTTTCTGAAAAAACAGGAATCAGGTGCAAAAGTTTGAATGATGGATTTTCTGTTATGGTCAAAATTATACACAAAAGGTCAAATATATCCCCCCCCCCCCCCCACTAATGATTAATGATTCTTGGCTAGTTGCACATCAACCATGAGCTTTCTGTATCATCAACAAGCTCCTGGCATATTTCCTGCTGGATCTGCTCACTCAGGACAGAACAGATGCAACACTAACACTTGGAGTGAAACCACCCCCCACAGCATGATACTACCACCACAGGTTCAGTGTCCTTAGATTTAAAGGCCTCACTTTGGCTCTTCCAGACACTGTCATTGTGGCTAGAAACCTCAGTCTTTGTCTCGGCTGATCATCAAACTTTTCTCCAGAAGGCATTTGGCTTGTCCATGTGGGCAGCTGCAACTTCCAGTGAAGCATACAGGTGTCAGTCCCGGAGCAAGCATGGGCTTCTCTTAGTCTGATGTAAAAATGACCTCATTATGGTCGGTTACTGGTATTCCAGCAGTTTCCAGTTCATGGTAGACTTGAGCCTTGTGGTTCTTCCTGGGGGGTTTCCTGAACATCTGAACTAACTTTTGTTCTGGGATCTTCTCTGAGCCCTTTGGACTTTCACATTTGTTCTGAGAATTGGTCAATGCAGTTGGTGCTGTCAAACAAATCCTGTTTAAACCTGCAATCAGAAACTACCAGCTTAATAGTTAAGACATCCCAGCACCTTCAACAGCACTTGTATAAAGATTTAATGTATATTATTAAGCTTGCGTGTAAAGTTTTAACCCTGTTTGTATTAGAGAAAATCCACAGTAAGTTCAAATTTGTGCCCCCCAATACTGTATTTTCCGCTTTATAAGTCACAGTTTTTTGCATAATTTACATGCCCTGTGACTTATAGGCTGAAGTGACAAATTTATGGATTTTTTTCCCATATTTATAAACTAATTTTTGGCTGAGATATGACCGTTTTCATTCATTCTGACTGAAAAACAAGAGCAGTACCACTTTCAGCCACTTGACGGCAGCAGAGTAGTAGCAGCAGTAAGGCATGCTGTTGTATCATGTAATAGGTAAACGTGGCTATAATGACAAATTCAAAAAAGTTCAAGACAAAAACAGCTGGACTTTATTTATTATACTTTACTTTATACTTTATTGTTTTTCTCTTGAACTTTTTTGAATTTACCATGTCCTGGATGACTGAGAATCTTCACCAGCTATTAATGACACAATCAGCTTGCCATAGTCTCCTCACCTTGGTTCTGCTTGCTGCTTGGCCCGACCGTCAATCCAGCTACACCGCCCCGGCAGAATGCAGCTAATTTGACCATTAAAGTGCATTTATTAAGCAAACGTTAGATTGATACACACATTTACTATAATTTTGAGCAAACAAATCATTGTTTTTAAGTGTTAATCTTGGTAAATTTTTGTTAAAGTCCTCCCGTGCACGCTCCTGCGGCCACCATTTGGTAGCCCATCGATTTCTGGCACAACACCGGCCCACGTTTCCGGGTTGTCAGCGGTGACACGTAACAAATACGACGCGTCTGCGGTGACGCATAATAGATGCGCCATATACGGCGAAGCAACATATTTATGGATTTTTTTCCACTTTATTAGACAAATATGGACTGATACGACTTATAGGCAAAGCGACGTGTACGGTGGAAAATACGGTACTTGTTTGTAAAGATCATTTAAGTTGTATGTTGGATTATTTTATTTTTATTACACCTTGATTTAACCAGATAAAAACCCATTGAGATCAAGACCTCTTTCACAAGGGTGACCTGGCCAAGAACAGGCCGCAGCAGCACACGCCATAAAAAACAAAACAAGGAGCAAGATTATGAAGACTTCAGAAATATATAAAAATATAAAACATACAGTATAACAGTAAATGGCAATAATTATTTAAAACATTAACAATTTAAGATCTAAAACACAGGCACTGTTGACAAGATATCCTTTGTCGGTTTTTAAAAGTTTGCAAAAAGCACTCAAAGTAACAAGCTCTGTCAGTTTTAATTCATGTTGCAAGACGTTCCAAGCTGAGGGGGCAGACAAGCTCAAAGCTTTCTGTTCGCACACGAGGAACACGAAGATGCAAACAGTCCTTAGAGCGTAAGGCAGAACTACTGTCCATTCTTCGTCTAATGAGAAGAAAACAGTTCATGTAAATTGTTAAAAGCCCCCAAATAATTTGACCTTCACGCTCATGCCGACTGGACGTAACCTTCTGTGCAATGGACAGGTTCTGTGTGAATCCATGGCTCTCATTTTTCTTAGGTCGCTCTCCTATTTAAGTACCTATAAACTGAATTGATATCTGGCTATTTAAACCTGAGTCTGGATAAACAGACCATTGCTAACACAACCCTGTTTGCCTTCAACGCCTTTAACGGCCTGTCTCTCGATAAATCTCCCCAACTGAGTTTCAGGGAATGATGGTTGATGTGCTTGCTGGCTGTATCTACTGCCTGCAGACCCCAGGCTCCCTGTAATAAATCACAGAGCCTCACAGAAGCAGAGGTCGGTCACTTGTAGCTGCTTTAGCTGGGAGCATCAAGTAGCGGGCTGGCATGAGGCGATAAGATAGAGGGAATGTCTGAGAGGACATGTGTATGTTAGCAAGTGCCCTCTCGGTCAGGGGCTCCTGATCCTGATCAGTTCATTTGTGGAAACTGGTTTTGCTTGGTGGACAAAGAATCCGTGTGACATTTGGATCAGAATCTACGTAATAATCTGCTGGAACAGGATTCCTTTCATTGTTTGCCATTGTGTAGCGAAGGGAGGCAATTGGAAATACAGTAGTCCCTCGCTGCATCGCGGTTCTACTTTTGCGGACTTGCTCAAACGCGGTTTTTCAAAATAAGATTGGACAGGACACACTATTGGCTGATTGATGGATGAGCCGCAGGGGTGGCATGGATTGTATATTTAAAATATATATTTTTAATGATTTAGCACCTGCTGCACCTGTGTGCAGCCCACAAGTGCAGGGAGAAGCTCCGTCCTGCAGCATGTCACGATCTCCGCTCTCGGCCACCTGCCGCAATAGGCCACGCCCACTTGTCCTCTGCAATCACCCTGATCACCAGTTTCATTCCCAATCTCCCTCCTTCTGTGTAAAGAAACAAAGTATTCTGTTTAAATAAATCATTTAAATACTGTAATATTTTAAATAAACAATCCATGCAGCATGGATTGTTTATTTAAAATGTATTTTAAATTTATTTGTGTCAATTTCTGTTTTTCCAGAGAATTTCCACTTTTCTGCGTCTTTCAGCCTCATTGGGCACACTTGTGCTCTCTCCCCTGTCTTCTGGTTGTTTAGGTTTCATGCTGCAGTTTCAGCTAATTTTCAGCTATTTCTTGCTAATTTCAGCTTTTCATTAGCTAATTTTGTAATGTTTCTGTTCATTTCTGCTTATTTAAAACCAAATTCAGCAAATATTGTATGTGTTCTTTCTGCTTCCTCTGCTAACATGCTTGTTCTTCCATTTCGCTATAATTCAGCATGTATTTAGCTAATTTTAGATGTTTTTCAGCAAATTCTTCAGCAATAAGCATTCACACTGCATTTTCACAGGAAATGCAATTTCTTTAAAGTTTAAATCCTAAAAATGTCTATTTCTGCTCCGTGCTGCAGCAGCTTTGTGAAGGGTTAACCCTTTGCTGTCCAGATGCACTGATCGACTTTTGTCTTCCAACTTAAAATTCAAAGTATGTCACATAGTGAAATTGTCATAATCACAAAATACAAAAGTTTTAAAAGTTATTTTAAATTATTTTAGAACTTCTATGTCCAGTTGTTAAAGTGTAATTGATCAAGAAGTACATTTCTGCTCCGTTCGGCATCTGCTGCATGAAGGGTTAACCCTTTGCTGTCCTGCTGTGCTGCTCTTCTCTTGCACTACTATCCGTACTTCACGGTTCTTCACTTATTGCGGGTGGGGGTGGGGGGTGTAACCTAACACCCACAATAAACGAGGGACTACTGTACCCTCCATCTGTCCGTGCATGCTGTGAGCATGATAACTTGAATAATAAGTGAGGTACAAACTTTCATTTTAGTGTGTGGCTACATCTAGGCATAAGAAAGGTTCCTCTTGAAAACTGGGTTGCCATGTCAAAATTCACTACAGAAAAACACTAATCTCAAAAACTACAATCTGTCACTAATCAAACTCTTCAGCATTGGGGGACACTGGTGTACTACGTGTTTTCCTTGCAAGACAAAACAAGTGGTAAAAAAGTTGATGATTTATTTTTGTTTTGGGCAATATTAAATATTTTTGTGATATTTTAATTATATGAGTTTAACAAGTTCAGGATATTATCATAGTGTACCTGCAGCTTAGCAGAGTCAGGAAAGAGACGGACTTTAACGGAAAACCTACAGTGAGAAGTCGTCTGCATAACAGAAAGTTTTTTACAGTGCTCCGTGGTGAAATTCTGTTTCTACAGTGTAAAACTGTCCGTTCTTTTAAACTAAAAGCCTTTTTAATGCACCAGTACAGAATGCAATTGTTAATTTCCCTTTCTTTTATACAGAAATCCCCATTGCATCTCCAACATCTACTTATAACAGCTACGAGGAGCCATCCGGTGAGTAACCATGAGATTATTTTTACCAAGTCACTACAAAACCTATACTAATTTATGTACATTTATTTCTCATATACATTGATATTTTAGAGTAGTATCATCCTTGCACACTAAAATAAACAATTATTCTTATGTGTGTGTAATAGTGAGTGTTGTCCAAGCCCAGGCATGTTTTTTTCCACACTCCTAAACTCAACACGTGAGTGAGATCAGCCTGCCGCTGATGTAAACTCCAGTTATTTTGCCTGTGCTCCCAGTGGCCTCAGTGTCTGTATTCCCAGCCTGCCCTGCAGCCTCCCCAGAGTTCCAGCCATAATCTGATTACATGCTTCATTTGCACCAGTTTGTATTTCAATCAAGGCATGCTGTGCCAGCAGAGAAGCCCTGCAGGGCCGTGTCCCGACAAGAGTATCCATGTCGCCGTGCTGACTTTATGTGCTTAGATGGGCGTGATTTATTATCAATTTACAGTATAAATCTGTAAACTGGTTTTATTAGATGTTTTTTTATTTATTTTTTTATAAGATCTGACTATGATCCTGGTTTGTTTGAACAGACGGAGTCAACTGTGTCATCGATCAGTGTCTGAGGACTTTACCGAGCTTTGTTGCGAGTCTCACTTCCTGCTACAGTGACCCCAGGGGCGGTGAGGAGTTTAAATGTCTGTCAGAGACTCCAAACAGACACCACCCTCCAAATTAGTAGCACTGTGGTCCCCCAGGGGCTCAGCAGAATGAACGTGGTGCACAAAGAGGGGGGGCGTTTGTCCTCGCAGCGGGAGATCGGACCTTAATGAGAGCCGCTGGTGGAACAGGCTGCTGCAGCGACCGCGCTAAAGGCTGATGGGCGACGTCAGCTATCAAAGGGAAGCACGATGAAGGCCCCCAGGGGCCAGTGGGAGGTAAAGAACTCCCTTTCCCGTCCCCGTCTTTTCATTTACATGGAAATCAAGCATGCTCGATATGGACTCGTCAGATTCATTTACTTTAGGATTTCCTCTTCTCTTGTTTCCCCTCGCCGCCCCAGAAAGGAGCCGGGCATTCCGACAGACAGAAATGCTTCTCTACACACATGAATTCGATCCTCGTCTCACGTCCCAAAACCACTTTTTTCTTTTCCTCTTTTTCTTTTTTTTTTCCCTGGGGGGGGGGGGGGGGGGGGGCGTTTTTTTCTTTCTCCATCATTACCTAGGCAACCTCATTCACACAGAGTATAATGGGGAAGAAAGGGGAAGACTGGACGGAGGGCTGGAAGAAGTAATGAAGTTTGTCCATATTCAGGCAAGCTGAAAGGTCCCCCCCCCACCCCGTCTCTTTCCAAACTGCCCCCCCACACCACCCCAATCTCGTTTCTCTCCGCAGACTGCCAGGCCCACTTTCCCACCCCCACCACCCAGAAGAAAATAAAACGCACACTGCTTATTGCTCTGGGAGAGGCAGAGTGGGGGTGCACTTGGAGATGGTCTGCTTCCAATTTGTGTCAGTCGGTGAAAAGTGGGGGGAACGAATGATTTCAATTTTCAGTCTGGCCCCGGGTCTCACCTTCTTCTAATTGTAAAAGGTGCCTGGCTCAGTGACAGCACGACACAAAGCCCTTCAGCAGACAAACACAGGTACAACTCCACGACCCGTGTTCAACCGATAGCCGTGACTTCTCAGAGCAATTATTGTCTCACAGCGTGTCGCTTATAGGGGCACTAATTTGTAGACGGTTCAATTTTCCCCTCCGCGACCTTCTCTTTTGGAGGGGTGACCTCAGTCGTTCGCACAATACATGCCAGGACACTGACGATGGAGCAGGCTGAATAAAAAAACCACGGGAGGCGTAAAGAAGGAGCATGCTGACAGACACCGGAGGACCTGTGTTGGCTTTAATCTGTTTCACAGCTGCACTTTGATGGCATCTGTAGGACCTGCAGGCGTAAACAGCGTGGCGCACGCTGATTTAGTTGATGTTTTGTAAGCTGCATGATGAGCCTCACTAACTTCTGGGTGTTTTCTCTGCTTCTTTTAAATCCTCAGATTGTGACTCTCACTGTAAAGCCTCCAAAGGGAAAATGAAGATCACCATGAAGAAGTACTGTAAAAAAGACTACGGTGAGTGACGAGGTCCAGTAGATTCAGATCCCAACAGTGATCAGTCCAAATCCTGCAGCTGATGTTCTTATTGTGGCAGTGCTTGAAGTGGGCAGGTACTCACCAGTATGCAGTGACGTACTTAGCATCACTTCTTTTCAGTGCAGTGTCACAAACTGTAAGCTATGACCCATTAACCACTGGACATTGGTACAAGGTACATGAATGACAGCTCATCATTGGTTGAAGGCAGCAAGTTGTGATCCATTCTACAGTTCTTTTGATTGGTTCGGTTTTATTGGGTCAGGCAACACAGACAATCTCCATAATTATTACAAATAGCGTATGGTCCCTAGGTAAAACTAATCCCGTGTGAACAGTGCTTATGATGGAAGAAACAGACTGGGATGGGAGGGGCAGTAGGTGTTGTGTCAAAGAAGGTACCAAGACCAGAAAAGCAACAGCTGGGTGTGTCACTACCAGGTGTTTAAAAAAAAGAAGAGGAAAACGACCAAAAATAGTGATCGTTTCAGAGTCACAATAATCCTTTAAATTTGAACTAGACATGGAAAAAAAAAAAAAATCATAGCTAATATTTTATGTAGTGAACACACTTTAATCATTCGTATCAAAATAAATCAAGATTAGTGATGTTGAAGTTTCATTGAGCTTTAATTCTATTTTACAGCTAAAACATGACACATCAATTAATTCAAAGAATTAGAAATAATCAAAAAAACGACCTGTTAGCTCGTTAGTCCAAATTAAATCATAACTATTTCTTCAAAATGAGGTCATTCAGAGAGCTATCTACAACAGGTAAGATTAATTTTTATAACATTTGCATAGTACTTCAAAAGATGTGACCTATCTTTTTTAGGTTTTAAGTTTTAGGATTTTGCAACAAGCTTCCGAATTATGGAAGTTTTTTTTTTTTTTTTTGTATGTATTGTGACCCAGTTAAGTATTTTTAAAAAAATTATTTAAAATTTAGCAAAATTTCATACACACATGCATAGTCACCAAACCGTGTCCCATACACTTTTCATTACACCAGTTCTAAGCTGAATGTCACTGTCGTGGGAAAAAAAAGGGATTCCCAAAACAACCAGGTGTAGACGTCGTCAGATTTATTACAAAGTTTTGGAGAACAGCCAGCAATCACAGAATATCAATACACTTATCAATGCTTTCACTTGTCTGAGGCTCTGACCCGTTCTGACTTCCTGAACAGAAAAAAAATCAGTTTTGTAGAAAACATCCAGCTGCCAACCCCTCCTCGCCCTGTCCAGCTGTTTCAGAAACCAGCTGCAGTTAGAAGCGGGAGGAAATCTGGGAGCCGGACAGCTCCCAAGGCATCTGGAACTGTGCTACTATAATCATGTCAATCACCTTGAGGATAATAGAATTATCTTTTATTGTCCCTTTACTGACCGGTCACATGAAGACTGATTATTACATAGAGTAAGGATCATGGAACATTTTAATATCATACTAAACAACAGAGCCAATTTCGTCTTTGTATGGGAACATGCAATGATGACAACACGTAGCACTTCATTATTATTATTATTATTATTATTATTATTATTAAAAGAGCAGTGCATAAAATACATAAAAAATTATGGAGCATGGTGAGTGCAAATAATACACTTTCCCTTGACAGTCACAAATCAGGGTTAAAGTTTATATATATTGGGCAGAACGATGGTTTAGTACTTACCCTTAGCAAAAAGTGGTTTATTTAAGTGTACTACAAGTATACTTATTTTACACTAAAAATGAGGAAGTGTACTTGAAGTTTACTTTTATAAACTTTATTTGATTTACTTAAAAATAGTATAAAAATGTCCCAATTTAGTCCAAACAAGTATTAAATCTGTATACTTCTAGTACACTACAAGTATGGTGTGTAGTACACTTGACGCACTTATAATTTACTTAAAGTATATTTGCAAAAATAAACTTCAAATGGACTACTTTTTGTTAAGGGTACTACTGTTACCTCACAGCAGGAAGGTTGTGGGTTCAATCCCCAGTTTGGACCTGGGATCTTTCTGGGTGGAGTTTGCATGTTCTTGTGTTTGCATAAGTTTTCTCTGGGTACTCTGGTTTCCTTCCACAACCCAAAAACGTGCATGTTAGACTGATTTCAAACCCAAGCCTTCCTTGTAAAAATGTTCTGTGATATTATGGGGGTTTCCAGGTGAAATAAAGGTGAATAAATAAAATAAATAAATAAAAATACAAGGTATTTGCTTGTCTGAGACATGGCTGTAGATAGCAGTATAATAGCGATGTGTTACTCTTGTTCAATATGTTGTATTCATCAGATATTATCTGATTACACAATCAAAAAACAAGTCACCATTGCTGCCAAGAGTTGACCTTACTTGTTAATAGTCATGTAGATTAGATAATTTAACACAAGCCGCCCAAGAGTTTTTAAACTCAAAACACAAATTGTTTCATTGCAATACGTAAATCATGAACTCGGAGGGAGAAATTAAAAGTTTCAGTGTTTTTGCCCAACAGTGAAGTGGGGAAAGGGATAATGAAATGTTACTGAAGTGGGGGAATTTGTGAGTTGATCCAATCAGTGGATTTTGCTCCAATTGATAGACTCCAGATGAATTTTCTCTGTTTTTCCGTGTTTATTTTAAGATTCAAAGGCTGTATACGTGTTCCTCTTACAGAGTACAGAGTAATGACTGTTTAAACTTACATTTGAGGAAAAAGGCTGAATTGATTACATTCTGTTGGTTCATCTGACCGGAGCTAACATATCTGTGTTTCAATGTGGATAAAATTATGGTCAATCTGCACCCTTATAAACGCAGTGGAATTTGTAAAAAAAAAAAAAAAAAAAAAAAACATTAAAATGACGTGCTAGAATTCAAATATGTCTTGACCCAGTCCAGTCTGCCTGAGGGTTGTGGAAATACTTTCAGGTGTTTCACAGCAACTCTGATAAGAGCAGCCAAAACACACAGCGAACGTATCGCTATCATAGGGAACTCAAGCAGCAGCTGAAACGCATCAAATGATGCACGTGTCAGGTAGATAAATATCATGTTGTTGTGTTTTGAAAAGATATGTAGAAACTTTGATACGCCGTTCTGCACACACTTAAAAAACCCAGCAGCTGGCAAGATGGAGGCAGTTTGATGTTTATGTGAGTAATAATACTGGACCGCTGTGTCAAACAGAAAGAAATACAGGATGCAGGGATAAAACCCAGACAAAATCAAATATATACAGTTTTCACTCCCATACTGCACAGCTCCGAGGTCAAACACATGGAAAATCCATTCTGCTGTTTGGGTTTTAACTAGAAGATTTCTGGGGAAATTTCAAAAGGCGCCACTGTAGCTACTGCCTGCTGTTCCAACGCACATCAACTTTCTTCTATAAAGTCTAATAATTATAATAATTTGGGACATACCTCTTAAAAAAAAATTTAAGCCAAAGCCAGGCTCTTGCTTTGAAGCACATTTATGAGATTTCTTAAGAAACTCGCGTGTAAAGATTGAAAACCACTAAAACCGTTAGTTTAAACGCGTGGTTCCCAAGGTTGAGGTCGAACCTCATTTTAGGTTTTGAAATACCATGTGAGGTTATTTCACAAGCGGGAGAGGCCTGAGGACATCTATGGAATGAAATTTGATTTTTTTAATCAGCATATGTAGCCTTAACTGTTACAGAGACATCAAAACGGCTAATAAAGTTTATTATCCAATGAGGCTTTTTAGTAACGTTTGTTGATTTATGCAATAGTTGTGGTCATAATTTGCAGCTTTAATTTTGTGGGTCAAAAGTAAAAAGTTGGGAACAACTGATTTAAACTATTACACACACACAAAAATATATATATATATATATATATATATATTTAAAATCAGGGCTCAATTTGTAATTTGTAAACCACCGAACGATGCTGGAACGCAAATAGTGGGTGGACCGGGTTGGTGGGGTCTGGGGGTCCTCCCCCAGAGAATTTTGAATAGAGTAGGTGCCATTTCCTGCATTCTGGTGTATTTTGCAAATGTTTATTACAGTAGATTAACATGAAACAAAAGATGTAAACTGTTATTGAAATGACTGCAAAGCTTTGTAATCCAACACCGCTGCAGCTCTGCAGGTAAGGGGCGTTCACTTCAGGACAAATTGAGGTCGCTGATTGGTCAGTTGCTGACTGCCTTGATTGATTGACAGGTGGCGCGACTCATGCAAAAAAAATATATATATATCATAGATTTTACTGGCCCCTGTCGTCATTTATTCCATATTTATTAAATATTTATTCTATATTTTGGTGAATCTAAGGTTTGAGAACTGTTTCCTTACAAAATCCAAGTGATGGTTTCTTTATTTTTCAGAGGTGCCAAGTTAAAATTTCGGGGGCTAAAATCACCACTGAAGCCAGTTCATATTTGTAATTTACTTTAAAACGCTCTATGTGTGATTTATAAGTGTATTAAGTGCAGGATCATTTCTTATCTACTAGTGGTTTAGTATATCCCACACCGTGGTCAGGTGCGCCTCGTCCTCCTCCCTGCTCTGCACCGTGGGACAACAAGCGCTGCTCTAAGTTTTTGGCCACACTTTGAAAAAACTGCCTAATATTTAGTGATTTGTCACTAAATGGCTTAGAAAAGAGTTGCTCTCAATCCTCCTGCTCGTTTCAGAAAAGCGTCCTGGTCGCTCCGACATCACTTCAAATACTCCGACTGCACAACAAACAGCTTTATGAGGCGAGATCGTCTCTTTGTTGCAGTTCAGAGAACTCCTGCAGAGATTCACACATCAGATTGTTCACAAAAGCACAGGAGCTTACTCATAGTGAAAAACGTTTAATTATATTTTTGTGTTTTTTTAATAAAATTGCCCATGACTTTGAACTTTTAGGGGCGGAGATTTTTTAAGACTGGAAATGCGAAGTGACAGCTCTGATGTGATATTAGGAAGCTTATGTTTAAAATTAGTTTTTGTGTCATTCTTTTCAATTTACATATCCAGTA